TAGTGTCATCTTCATCTTGGTAACTTGCTGGGCGTGAAAATTAACTGGGTTGGTTCCAACTTGAGGAACCTAAAGAAAAACAAGTATCTTGCAGATCAGAGCTCCTTTACAAAGGATCAGCAACTGGAGATCAGGGGGCCACTGCTTATAGCTCGTCCCTGAGGAGGAAAGACATTAACTGTACTTCAAGCACAGTGGTCAACGTTCACTTTGAAGCAGCTTCGTACATTGCTGAAAATCAAAATTGATGTTTTATTTTCAGAAAGTTTAAAATGCACCTTTCCCTCTGGAACATGTGACCGCAGCACACATGACCACAGCAAAATGAGTAAGACAAAAGAGTATGTAGTTTGATGACAAGTCAATATGAAGGCAACAAGTAAGGTAAAAATGCCTACCCGTTTGGCTGAGCTGAGAGGCGCTGCGACTTTTCCGGGAGAGACCAACAATAGCTACCATTTTGGCCCCAATGCTAGAGTGCCGCTTTTTGCCGCTGGTGCCCAACGTGCCCACCGCAGTGTCGGACTGGCTGCCATCGGTCTTCTCCAGCGAGCACATGTCCCCGCTGATGCTGGTGCTTTTGGTCATGTTCTTCCCTGAGATGCCCATTTGTCTGCTTTGCATTTTGGATGTAAAGACACTGGAGGCCGGTGGATCATTAAGAGTGAGGACAAGAGTAAAAAGGAAAAGACATGAAAGGTATTTTAGATCGAACGTTTGGAGCGTATACTTCAATTAGATCATCTAGGGGCCATATATTTAGAAATTAAAATTTTCGAGTCTCATGGTCTTGAATGGACTTTACAATTCAGGGCTGACTTTAATGTGATTATGCAAAATCAGTCATCTAATTTTATTTCTGCTGTCAAGAAAAGGCACTACTTTGCATGACCACAGGAAATAAACATATTCACGAAAAATCAGTGGGCTCACTTATGAGGAAGTGCTGTTCTGCCAGTGCAAATATGCTTTAAGGTTGTCATGCAACATAAGTAAGGTGCTTCCAAAAGCATTCCTTTTTAATGTGCATCACTTCTGCCTTTATAAAGAAATGAGAGGAAAGGGAAATTTTACCAAAAAATTACAGAAATTACAGTATCTGTTGCTAAAAGGAGGCTTTTAAACTAAGTTTTCTTATGAGTAAACTTGACAGGATTTTTCTAATAGTGACTAAATTTGCTAACAAGGAGGGATGTTTTACTAGTTTTGAATAAAAGACAATCTAGTTCACTTTATATAATTTCAAATTTATTAAGATAAATCTATATTCTAAGGTAAAGAAAGGAAATACATCCCTCTTGCATTCATTTGGAAAAAAAAAAGAAAAATCATTATCAGTTTTCTAGACAATATGGTCAGAAACACATAATATCTACTAGGAGACTAACGTTACAAATGGGAGTAATTAAACAGAGCCCTATATTTTTCTATGACCGCTAGAGTATAGGAGGAGGTAGTGTAGGGGATGAATAATCTGGAAGCAGGCTATCCAAATTACCCCACAAATGTGGAAGAATGTGAAGGAAGCAGCCTGCTCTGCAGGAATGGTAAGACTCATTTACAAATTAGCAGTTTTTGACTCAGTATTAGAAAGTCGTAATATTGCACTAATTTGGTTCTGGAGTATGAGACATTTAGAAACAATTTGGCAATATTTGTCAAAAACTTTAAAATAAACAAGTCTAGCTCTTACACTGTTAAGATCTTTGCAGGGAAAAACTTAGCAGTGTGTATAGATTTAGATTTATCAAGAACGATATTTATTGCAGAATTGATTATAATAGGAAAACAAAGTCCACATAAGGGAAAACCCCAAAATGTTCAACAGTAGAGGGTATTTAAGTTATGTTCACCAATAAAACAGCATGTAATTTTGAAATCTTTTATAAATATTTATTGCAATAAGAACATTTTCTTGATATGCTGAGAGAGGAAGCAGCAGCAGATTTTGCAACTTAGCTTTGGCTGGCACACAAGCCAAATATGGATTCACCCTATAACTAATGAATACAGACAAATTCAAATCTCAGGGGCTAGCTAACAGCAAAAACAGAAAAAAAAAAGAAATTCATATAAAATGAAATAAAAAATATCTCTTGCTAAATGAGGTAGTTTGGGAAACAGATTCATGAGATGAGCTATAAGTCACCAGCACAAGACAAGAGGAGATGAAAAGCATATGAGGAAAAATAAAACCATATGTTTGGATTGTTGATAGCCTTAGGAAAAATATATAAATGTAATGGCAAAATATTTATAGTGTGAAAAGTGAGCAGAGAGTAGTTTTAGTTTTCTTTGGTTGATAGCTGTGCTTCTTAACAGTGTTCTTTTAAAAATATTTTGTTTTCCAAAGTGAACATAAAAGTGGAATAGGCTATAAGAAAAATAAAAATAAAACAAACACACATATGAAAAGAGCCACCCAGGGCCAATATCCCTTTTTCTTTACATGGTCAAATACTCAGTCCACGTAGTTCATACCATGGGCTAGAGCATTGCACAGCCTTCCAGCTAATCCTAAGAGATTGCAGCACAGTTACATTGGATGCTGATATGACACTTCATTTCCTGAAAGAGACACAATGTCTCTATATTTCTAAATATCATTTTATGTATGTTTTCTGCTCTGTGACTTTAGAAAAACTTTACATATTTAGTAAAGTACAATATGTAAAATTGCCAATGCAAGTCATAATATTTTAGGACATAATTATAGTTGTTGAAAGGTGTATCCTCAAAGAGTTTCTAAGAGATGAATGCAGTATTGCTAACCATAAGAGAAAGGCAACTGCAGTATCTGTAAGTATTTGTTAAGGCAAAAACAGCATAGTGAGGGTTATAGGAGGATGTGATTAAATTAAATGAATTACATAATATTTATGTAATTAGAGCCAAAGCATTAATAAATTAATAGGCTTGAATAAAAAAACTAAGTGGTTTTACTTAATAAATAACAAACTTACACAAAGTCTTAGTTTGTTACAGCCATAAAAGTAGTATTATAAATAAAATCTGTAGTCACATCAAAACAAATATTTTATCATATGGAGAGCTGGGAAGGTGGTTAGGAGAGAAATTACTCAAGAAATTAGAGACTGGGGTGATTCAGAGTTTTGTGGATAGAGATATAGAAGCCCAGTAGCTAATATATTGGAATATGAGAACTGCACAGCACAGAAACAGAAAAGACATTTAAGGACAGAAAGTATACAGAGACAAGTCTAGAAGGGAAAGAATTTATAACATCTTGGGCAAGGAAGTGGTATAAAAAGGGTTTGCTGGGCTCAAAAGTTAGAATAGTAAAATTGGTAGAGCAGAAAAAATGCCCCTTAGATTAACCAAGTTCCCAAACATTATGGCACCTTGAAAGGCTTAATTGCCTCTCCGTCCCATATTAATGCTTCTGGATTCAGATGCCAAGAGCTAACCACATATCTAACACTATGATAACTAATACTTGAACATATCAGTAGCCTGTGATTAGGAGATGTGTGGAATTTTAAAGTGATGTCTCTTGAATTCTGGCATATTCTTTCAGAGGAAAAACAGGGTAATAACCACTATCTCACACCATACACAAAAATTAACTCAAAAGGGATCGAAGATGTAAGACCTGAAACCATAAAATAAATAGAAGACATAGGCAAAGCATTCCAAGACATCAGTGATGTTTTTGGGTAATCCAATGGGAAGGAAAACGAAAGCAAAAATAAACAAACGGGACTATATCAATCTAAAAAGCTTCTGTACAGCAAAAGAAACTATCACTAACATTAAAAGATATTCTACTGAATGGAAGAAATATCTATCTGAAGGTAAAAAATTACTATTTAAGGGATTTATACACTTTTTTTTTTAAAGATTTTTTTTTATTTATGCATACAAGAACTGGGGTACAGGCCAGAGGTGTGGAGGGTGAGAGGATTCACCAGAGACACAGTGGGAACAGAACAGGCAGATCTACTGAAATACACTGCTGAGGGAGCAGCGGGAGAGTCAGGAGAGGTCTGCTGCACCAGTGGGTTGCTCCCTGGCCGTGGATCGAACTCGTGTTGCAGTGGCTGCGGATAGCTTCATAGGTTGCATCTTAACCCTTTGTGCCACAAGGGAGGCCCGATTTATACACTCTCATGTTCATGACAGCACTATTTAGACTAGCCAAGTAAGGAAATAAGTGCCCAAGGACAGATGGGTAGATTAAGTGCTTATGGTTTATACTCTCCAGCCTCATATGATAATTTTTCAATGTCTTTTATTATGTTAGCTGTGTTCTATCTTCCTTAAAATGTTAAACATTTAAATATGCACATGAAAAATGTACACATTTCAACCATGTAACTTGCTTTCACTGTTGGTTTAAAATAAACTTTTTTTCTAGAAAATTCAGAATTATGATTTAAATTTTTTTCATTTGACATGTATCTTACGAAAACTGCATCTCTTCTCTAATCTCTTCTCTAACTTCTTTATAGTCATCTTTAGAAACAAGATCAAATTTCTATTGTTACTTTTTTCCCCTTGAATTTTCAGGCTTGCAAACATTTCTGAACTTAGCTATTTATAGTAATCATTTTTGTCATTAATTCTTTGAGCAAACATCTACTATGCATTTACTTCACATTAAGTCCAAGGAGAGAGGAGGGGCTGGAGTGGCACCCCTGCTCCATGCCATGGAACAGGGGCGCTGAAACTGACAAGAATACATTTTTTCTTCAGTGGTCTGTTCAAAGCGAGCATCTCTTTCTGATTATCTACCCAGAGGAACACCTTTCTAACATTTGACCTAAACAGTTGCTTCCCAATGTGGCCTTGACTGGCTTGGCAAGTCAGGGGTACCGTGTCATGTCTCCTATTCCTAGGACTTGTTACTGTCCTGTGTGTCCTCTTGTGGCCACATCTGATTGACCATTACGTAGACACAAAACAGTATGTATGCACCTAAGTTAATAAACTTAGAAAAAAAATAGGGCCTCCCTGGTGGCTCAGGGGTTAAGTCACGGCACTATCAAGCTATCGCCAGCCACTGCAACATGAATTTGATCCCTAGCCAGGGAGGTGACCCACATGGCACAGCAGATCTCTTCTGTCTCGTCTGCTGCTCCCCTTTGCTGTGTATTTCAGTAGATTTGCATGTTCTGCTCCCCATGCTGTCTCTGGTGAATCCTCCTAGCCCTCAAACCTCTGGCCTACTCCCCAGTTCTTGTATGTATAAATTTTTAAAAATAATATTAAATTATTAAAAATATATGAAAGCAAAACCCACAGGGAATTTTTAATATGTAAACTTTAATATGAAGTATAGCAAGTTATCTTAACTAAAACTTGAATATTTTTAAATGAATTTAGGTATTTCATGTGGAAAACAAAATACTTTTTATAGCAGGTAATCCCTTATTCTTTGTTAAAATATACTTTGCCTCATTTGATGAATACTGATAATTGACTAAATCCAGTGTTAATAAATCCAGTGTATTAAAATTTCCAAAATTACCCTTTTATTCAACCATAAAGAAAATGTTAGCATTCTTCCATGTAATAACATGCAAATTCTTAATTTAATTTAGAATATGTGCTTAGCTTATATTTGTGCATGTGGACAATTTTCCAATCACCATTACCCAAGTAAAAATTTGTTTCATATGTCATTCAGAATCACCATGAGTGGAAATACTACAACCTCCTTCAACTATTATAATGAGAATAATAGTTTGAAAAGATGTCTTTGGTCATATGTACTAAATCTTCAGTGAAACCATTTAAAGAGGGAGCTTATTAGAAAGCTAGACTGATTTTAATTTTTCTTCTCAGAGTCCTTGTCAATCATTCCTGCAGAGATGGTGAGTTTCTATTCTGACCTGATGTCTCTGCATGCGTAAGGCTAGTCTTTCAAAGTTAAGAGGGCCACTGGAATGAAGCTGACAGGCAAATTATTAACCATTTTCCAGTTATTGCAGTTTTTGGAGTTTTCCTACTTTATTATTATAAATTTGAAAGATATAAAGACTAAGATGGTGAAACTAGGCAGCATACGAAAAAAGAAGCATTGTCAGATTTTTCTGGAACTAAAATATGCTTTCCTGAATATTCAGGACTTCTAACATAAATGTGAGGCATTAAGTATTGCATGAGGTATTGACTTCATTAAATAAACAAAGTAAAATATACAGTGAGAATGTTGAAAATAAAGTTAAGCTTCTCTAAATATATTTACATTTTCTTTGGTTGGATGAATTAACAAAATGATTTTAAAGGTTTTTTACATGTTGTTTGCCAAAAAAAACTATTTTAAGAGAATTATTGTTCAAATGTTTCAAGGTAAAAAAATAGATTTGAAATGAAACTAATTCTTCATATTGGGGTAATAATGAGGCAATTCTTTTTCAGATTCTCCAAACTTAGGACATGATAACTCACAGGAAAACTGTTATGCTCAATTCTTAGGTAGATATGTAGTCCAATTATATTATATGATTTATTCTAGGCCAAAAAAATCTGGTAATTTTATCAAGAGGTAAAACCTTTAGCATATTTCTTAACCTGAGCTTTAGTTTTCTCATCTATTTATTACATACCTTTCTACCTGAATAAAAGCTATATGGGGCAAGAACTTTCCTCTTTTGATCACTGTTAAATCCTAGTTTCAAAAATAATGCCTGCCACATGGTTAGTGTTCAATATAATTGTTGAATAAATGAATTACTTTAATGAACATAATAACTCACAGGTTATGATAAATACTAAATGAAATACCACATATACAGCATTTTGTCTATACATTAGCAAATATATAGCAAATTGTCTATAACATGGTTAAGATGTTAGCTCTGATTATTAAATATTATTGAAAAGGGGACAGTGAGATTTTGCTAAGAATAGGAACTTAAATTTGGTATTTGAAGAAGCAGTTATTTTATATAAACAACAGAACTTCTTTAGTCTCATGGAAATGGAAGCTCAGACTTCATATTGGTACATAATTACCATACTTTGGTCATTTCAAACTTTAAAAGGCATGTTTCAACAAAAATAGTTATAAGATGATCTTATTACATAGATAATTAATAATGCTTCAACAAGCAAATTAAATTTAAAAGACATGTTATCTATAATAAGAAAGAATGTCAATTTAAGGGCTGTATTATTGCTTTTACATAAATATTATTGAGACTGAATAAAATGCTCAGTGAAATTAGAAACATAATGACAATGAAGAGGTCATCAAAAAGTAGTTATCTCTATAACCTAGGGTTACTGTGGCAAAGTGTTTACATGAAACAATAAAGTATTATTTTCTCAAGTCTATGTTGAAAACTAATAGCAAAAATTAATTGGAGAAATATTATTACTATTGCTACAGCTTACCACTTTCTGAAATTCATACTTTCATTTTCAAATGAATTTTGAGGTACCAAAGTCTAGAAAATAATACAGATAGTAAATATCTATTCATCAAATGAAATAATACACATGAATAGGATTTAAGCAAATTGTACACATTGTGTCTCAAACATACTTCTCTTGTATTTTATAGACTATCTCTGCTTCATGGATATTTAAGTTTTTTCCTTTA